GCCTTTGAATGTGGATATGGTGTGTGACTACGGTTGTGGCTATGAACGTGAGTGTGGGTGTATGTGCAAGTTTGCGTTGATGAGAGAGTGCGTACAGGCGTTGTTATGGTTGTGAAGTATGATTCTTCTTTTCACTCGCATCAAAAGCGGTTGCAACAATAACATTTACACCCACACCCAACATTGGCGCTATTCGATACATTTTGAACTTCATTTGCTAGTCTTTCACTGAGATCAAATGAGACAAAAAAATTCTATTAAAACATAGTTTTGTTTGAGATTCACAAAAATTGATGACATGTGATTGGACCATGTACCATCATTGTATAAGAGAGGACCGAGTATATTTTTTTTGCTGCAAGTGAGCCGTCGTGAGTGAAGATACACTTCCTCGCTCTTTCTCTCCCCCCATCCCTTCGACAAATGCTACTCGGCCCAGCAGCCGGGAGATTTGCTGCCCATGGAGTAAAATATTCAAGGAAACGGACTGCGTAACGCGTTTCTGAGATTGCAGCATGCGTTTCGCAACGTTTTTTCAATATAGAACGCGTTTCACAGCATTCTTACTTCGATAGAATGCGTTTTGCTGCTGTCGTTTTTTGAAACGATCTGAAACGCGTTTTTCCAAGATTGCGTTTCGAAGCGTTTCCGAAGTAAAATACTGTCGAACGCATTTCGGTCGATAGGTAAAGCATTCCAGAGACACAGATTCGGAGAAATGTGAAACGCGTTTTATTTTCAAAGGCATTTTGCATCGTTTTTGTTTGAAATGATGCAAAATATATCCGTTTTGCATACAGAATCTTGCAGGAATTTAACTGTACAAAATGTACGAATTAAGCAAAGTTAATTCTGGCACTATTTTAGAAATTATAGGAAATGGGATTTGAACATTTTGTTCTTTGCACTGTTTCTCAACATGAAAATCATGACCCAAACTTTCCAAACGCAAGATTAAAATCGAATTCATCTAAATGTTTAGGCTGCTAGACTGTTATTTAAGTCTGATTGGTGGTTAGACTAATATTGAACATCAAAATGTAAGAAAAATATTGTTTTTTTCCTTGAAAACTCATTTCACTAGGTTTTTATTGAAAGAAAACGTGTTTCGTAACGTTCAACCAAGCATTGTCTTAAATATTGAACAATTCGAAAAGATTTAGTAAAGACTGATGTTAGTATAATGTGTACGACAACTTTGTTTGTTTCTTTGTGAACAAAAGAATCTCGAGTTATTTATAATTTGAATAATTATTGGTATGAATTCATATTTGGACTACTTCATATAGTGACTGATGATACTGTGTACAATACTATTAAATATGATTTTAGTTCGTACTTTGTTAATGTAAGCGTGACTTATTAATACAAAGAACATTCGATTTACAAAAGAATATTCTTTGCATTTAGTGATACGTTTGGATAAAAGGATGACGAATTTACTTTTACAAAAATCTATGAAATAAAGAAAACAATTCAAAAAATTTATTTTTAAATTTCTTAAAATTTATATCTAAGAGATTCAACTTGTTGAAATATTAAATACAATTTATATTAATTGAAATCGTTTCAATTGGGTATTTAAATTTAAATTTAAACAAGTTCAAATAAAAAATATACCAAGAGGAGATCAAACTCACTATTGGGTATAGGCACCAAGGAAATGATAATTTTTAATTTAATGGAATGGGATACTGAAAATCTAATTTAGTAAGGTTACGCAAGACTCTGAAAGACTATAGAATAAGCACTTATATCATTAGATTATTTTAGTTGAACGGTTTGTACACATGTCTTCTATTCTTATGTTCTCGTGTTCGAATCTATGTGTTGGCTTTATCAAAATTGATCTAAGTTATAGCTCTAAAGGTGTATGAAAAATGTAAGCGAGTAAATTAATTGTATCTGCAACTCAAAGTGCATGAAGTACTTGATGGTTTTCATTTTTTTCCATCTAGAATATACGACAACACAGTTAGAGAAACACTATGAAAGGGTGTGGGTGTGGGTGGGTGTGTGGGTGTGGGTGGGTGTGGGGTGCGGGTGTGGGTGTGGGGTGCGGGTGTGGGTGTGGGGTGTGGGTGTTGGGTAGGGTGTGGGTGTGGGGTGTGGGTAGGTGTGGGTGTGGGGTGTGGATGTGAGTGGGTGTGGGTGTAGCGTGGGTGTTGGGTGTGGGTGGGTGTGTGGGTGTGGGGTGTGGGGTGCGGGTGTGGGTGTTGGGTAGGGTGTGGGGTGTGGGTGGGTGTGGGTGTGGGGTGTGGATGTGAGTGGGTGTGGGTGTAGCGTGGGTGTGGGTGTGGGTGTGGGTATGGGTGTGGGTGTGGTTGTGGTTGTGGGTATGTTAGTGATAGGAAGATGTAGAACTCCACACTCGCACCCACACCCCCACCCACCCACACCCACACACCCCACCCACACACCCAACCCACACCCACACCCCACACCCACCCACACACACCCACACTCACATTGTTGGTGAATAGCTTAATCGTGATCGAACCTAAGTTCAAATATCATATTAAAGATGAGCAAGATCATTTCGTAAAAGATGTTCAAAAGAAAAGTGGAAGTGAAAGCATTTGTTAGATTATGGAAAATATATTTTATCAATGAATAAAGAAAACATCCTGAACCGATTTATTAACTAGTGTAATGATTTCTTTTAGTGTTTTTATTGGAAAGATAAAGAACGGATGCGTTCAAAATGAACTGATTTTATTTGATGTTCTCTAGAGAATCGCTCAAAAACTAATTCTTCAAATTGATCGATACATTCTAGACGATTCAAAAACAATCTTAGAAAAACAAATATGTGGTCACTATTAATCTCCATCTTACTTCATGCTTTTTCCCTGGGAGAAACAATATTAATTAACTCAGACTACATTCTTCGGTTTTCTGAAATATATGAATTCTTTGCCTTCACAATCTGTAACTGGCTTTTAGCTGCATCTATTTCCAAACCTGAGAATTTATCTATCAATATCAAAAAGTTCCTGTTTTTCTTACGCTGACAAAAACAACAAAAGTAAAGTATAAGCGATGCTTGTATATTTAGACCAATAATATCACTATAACGGACGCTATAATTATTTACAAAAGATACAGAAGGAAATAAAAGGAACGAACACTGGACTATGTGCTCATAAGTCATATGATCGATATAACTAAAGATAGTTGTCATAACTATGAATGTCAATTTATTTTAATGGTTCTTTAAATTAACCCTTCGAACTTAATGAATGTGACATAGATAGACGCTTCTGTCATTGCTCTATCTAATTGCGAAGATCAGACTTCGATAGTTATAAAGAATCGGAAGTTATTCCAAAAATACTGGTTTAGATTTGTAAGAAAAAATCTATTGATAGATGTTAATTTCTGTGTATGTCATAAATATTCATTTAATGCACAAATGTGAAAAGAATTCTAACTAAATATGAAATAAGATATTTTTCATCATTAAATAAATAGTACGTCTTTGAAATGTTGATTTTATAATTATGTGGGCTGATTTATTAGTCTTCATAGAAAAAACGTTTTCACAAGGCTGAGAATTTAGTAGAATGATAATATAAGACAGAAAGAAAGCGATAATAGTACATATCATTCCAGGGCTTTTATCTATACAATGGATTCCATCCATGAGCAAAGTATGAGCTTGAAAAGAGTTAAGGGTTTGAATATGGTCCACCCACATCGACATTCATCTTCAATCAATTCTATGGTTTTGTTGAGTAAGATATACTTAAACAAATTGGGTAATACTAATAAATTTAGAGACAAATATAATTATTTAGAAAATTGTTAAAATAAGATTAACATTTGCTGTCTCTAATTTACTATAAAGATTTATGTATCTTGTTAGCATTATCTATCTATCTTACATATAAATTTACTCTATTTTAGGCATCTTTTATATACTGGTTATCATTTTATTTGAGGGCATGAGGTTTGAATGTAAAGATGTGCAGTGTTTTTCATGTCCACCTACAGCCACACTATATTATTGTTGAAACTGAAGCCGAAAGATTTTTCTGATATTACATATCACTACACATTATCTATCTTTGCTAGTACATTCAAGATAGTTTAGTATTGAAGGACATCGGTTAGACCTCTAGCAATTAATGTAAAGATTGGATTATTAATATTTCGAGATAAACTCCAAGTAAAAACTTGATTTGAAAACGAATATGTTATATTTAGTAAATCTTCATTTGATATAAAATAATTGTAGATTTGATCGTATACAAGTCAGGAATATTTACTGATTGCTGATTAGTCATTGATGTTTTCTTCGAATGTAGAAGCCGAAAAAGATATAATCGTAGTAACCGTTTATGACTCTGAGCAGTTGAGTATGCAGAAGAAACGAGTGACCCAAGCATCCAATAGAGTTGTCAGAGAAATCAATACTTAAACAATAGTATTTTTCAGTTCAATATCAGTTTGATATTAGTTGATGAAAGAACAGTTATTGTATGTGTAAGACTTACATTGTCAGGCTTTTTGAAGTGATTACATGTTGATGAAGTTGATATTTTTAAAATAGAGCTAAATTATAAAAAAAGATTGATCTTTTCGTAATATTCTACGTGCGCGAAATTAGAGATATACTCTTTTTATATGGCTTTTGTTCTCAAAATAGCTAATTTAATGACAGTAATAAATATAATTAAAAGAAAAGATCGTTAGAGATTACAAATATACGAGCTATCTTCGATACTATTCTACGTCATAATATTTATCTTAATCGAAAGAAGAAAAAACTCTATGCTCTCATACAGAATACGTCTCATTAATTAATTCAAGGTTGTTCAGATTCATTTCGTACATAGCGCAGTTCGACCTCACTAATCGAATAATTTGTATATAATTGTCAGTATATGCTCTATAGAATTTATTAAATCATATATATTTAAAAGAGAAGAAAAGGTCAAGATAAAAACTGGTTCAATCGCAAATAAAAAAGCAATAAATTAAAAATAAAAAAATAGTTAAACGTGGAGAAGAGTAAATGCAGTAAAAAGAAACATAATTATAGAAAAAAGCAATAGACAAAGACGATCGATGACCATTGCCGCAAACTGCCAATCTTGAGATTCATTTTCATCTTTCTCTTTTTTTCGAGAATAATTAATAAGAATAGCAAGTTGAGAAATAATAACACGTAGCTCAGAGCATGTCGTATCCATATCACATATGTACAATTCATTAGATGTATTTTGATGATAACCATAATCATGAGTTTTTGTTGCCGGAGGTACAGCGGATTCTAATATCGAATCTGAGTGTTGTTTTTCCAAAAATACTAAAGGTTCCTTATGGACATTTATAACATTACTTGATAACAAGTCGAATTTATTATTAAACAATGATTCAGAAGGAATCTTAGATTGATGAATACCGATCGATTCATGTATATTATCCGATTCTTCTTTTGACGAAGTCCATCGACGACTAATCGCATGCCAACTCAAATCATGATCAGGACGCTTCATAAGTAATAGCCATGCCAAATAGTCACAAATATATTTACGAATCTAAAATGATTTCTAAAGTCATGTAATTTACTCATTTTGAAATATGATTTACCCATAATGGCATTGTATGATTACTAGAGTTTCGATTATGAAGAGATAATATAAATACTGATGCAACAACTGAGACTGCTGTCATGAACATGACACAGATGAAATAAATGGTAATAATTGGTATAGCAGTTGAACTTGATGGCAGAATTTCCGATAGAACTAAACTGAACATAATAACACTTAAAAGGGTTGTAATCTCTGAAGACTTCAAATGTATAAGAATAAACTTTTTATGATCAAATTCTAACTCACGCAAGGTTAATTTTTCGCCACTATCCGGTGATAATAAAAATCCAAGTGGTGTCATACAACTAATAAGAAAACAAGGTGCTATGAAACGAAAAACAATAATATTGATGCTAAGATTAGAAAAAAAAAATGTTGTTATTTATATTTTATTACCGATGATATTTGTAAAATAATAAAGAGAACGTCGACGCATTCGAATAGTGTATAGTACGTGTGGATACACATTTGGACAACAATCGTATTTGGTGCCACTATTTGTTGCAGTGAAATCTGAAATAGAATAAATAGAATAAAACACACATAATCCGTACCAGCTACCTTCTAATTGCCATTCAGCATTTTGGACATATGCATCTAATTGACCTCGGCTATTTTCTGCCGTCAAATTGACTCCTAAGTGATAAAAAATTTATGTAATATGTAGAAACATTTTGATATTTCATTCAAGAAAATGATTTAACGATATACCAGCATCATCATATGACCAAGTTCCAAATTTCAACGTACAAAGTTGTGTATCCAATAAAAGGCAAAATATTTAAAATAAAAGTAGGTTATGAATGATATACTTTTTTGAACTTACAAATGGAAACGAGGCAATATTAAATGGACAAATCGATTTGAATAATACTGGTGGAACATATAATATATTACCATCATATTGCACAACAGCATTAACTTTCGTTGTAGTATCAAACTTGTCATCCATACTGAAAAAAAAGACATCATTTTTCAAGATATCTTTTCATTGAATAATAATAATAACGTGTTGTATAGAAAAATGTCTGGCGTCCAAATTTGTGTACTTGGTATTCGTAGTGTTTGAATATTACCAAATTCTTCTGGTTTCCATCTTAAACTATAATCGTACCACATCTATACACATATATATGGAGAATAAGAGCAGATATTATAACTAGGTATGCAATGTTGATGATAACTGATCCGATCTAGGATGACTTAGGGTGAAATCAGTTTTTCAAAGTTATGAGCTGGACCATTTTTTGGTTAGAGAAAGGGAGTTTTACGCAAAAAAAGTATTGCTTTTTATCAAGTTCGACCAAAGGCAATTGGAGTGAACAAATCCGAATCTGTCATCGATTTCTTGAAATAAGTTATTTCATTTTTTTCCGATAGGTTTTTTTTCAAGAAAAACTTTTGTCAGTACAAAGAAATCATTTCTTGACAAAAAAATGACTTTGACTAAGAAAATAAATTTTTAGTGGAATAAATTTTTGTTTTATTTTTATAAAAATACAATTTTTCCTAAAAAGAACCTTTTTGTAAAAAGAATCAAACTCAGAATTTCATAAAAAAAAGTACACCCTAAGCCTACATAGATTGGTATTAGCCTAATTATCATCGTTGCATCCTTAATTATAATTAAGCATACATACGATAGTGATCCAGCCACTAATAATAATAGCTTCGTTCTTTCCATCCTATTTATATTTCACAATTGAAAAAAAACAAAACATGAAAAATATATATTTAATCTCACTTACATAATCAATGATTTGTTGTAAAGCTAAATTTATAGTAACAGGTAACGTGTCAGAATCATTTTGAACTGGTCGTGCAATGGGTCTGTATCGATTATCAGCCAATAGATAGTTTAACAAACGATTTTGATCAGGACCTCCACCTTATATCGATTATGTTTTCGTTTCCAAAAAAAAAAATTCATCAACTTACTTATGATATTGAAACAATAAAATATAATTAGCAGAAATAATTTTAATTGTTGTTGAATCATATAAAACATTTTCTTTGAAACTAAAAAGATACTATGTAGAATTTATGTATTTGTCAAAATTTTTTCATTAATGCAAAAAGTATAAGATGTCAACAAAGCTGTGCAATAGTAGAATTCATCTAATCTACAATTTATATAAATCTAATAGTCACTTGATTGAGAAAACACTCAAAAGAAAAAAAAGTATCGTTACTTTTAGCTGAACTTCCAATCTGATTTTTAAAAATTATATCAATTGAATGTATATAAAATGCATGAAGAATGAAGTGACATTTGATTCTATAGAAAAAAAAATATATGTTCACATTCTACGATAGAATATGTGATAAAGTTTATCCATTATTTGTACCACTATAATGACTTATGATGTAGATATAAAAAAGTGTATCATTAGCTTAGATTAATACAGAAATATTATTAGCTTTAAATTAATAAAAACGTTCTGAACAGTGAAAATCGAAAGTGAATGGTAAAACAATAAACTTATAAGTATTGTTAATAATTGAAACATATTCGACTTGAAAACAATATCTTATGATAATATCTATACGATCAAAATATTTCTGTGTTACTATACATCAGGGTTACCAGACTAGAAAGTCAGAAATCGGAGTTTTTTAACCGAAATTCGGAAAAATTCGAAATTTTTTTAATTCTGTTTCGGAAAATATTTGGAAAGCAGTTCTTTCAAGGTCAAATACATATATCACCTTTTTTATGGAGATATGTTTTGTTCTGTCACTATTTTGTGCAAAAACTGTTACCAATATACTTATTTCTTTCTTCAATCTCACTTAAATTCATATTCAAATTATTATATGCATCAATAATGGCTGAATTTAATTCAGTATAAGAAGAGACAATTATCATTTGAAAAAGCATTTTTCTGAACATAAAGCTCAACCCATGTCGAAGAAATTATTGCTGCAAATGTCATTTTTTTTAAACAATGCGGAATATTTCATTTAGTTTGAAAAGCTTTTAAATTCAAGCGATCTTACACTATAAATAGTTTCAAAACTGTATTATACAATGACTACAGTAGAACAACGGCAGCGCATGGGTTGCTGATGAAAATTAACCCTATATTGTACAAGGGTATCTATAAACGCCACTTTTTCAGAACTTATCTGATGTGATTCAAACTTTTCATGTGTATATTAGAGATAATTGTAATCACAATGTGAACGAATTTCACTTTCAGATATTAAACTTTAGCCATGGGCAAGAAAGGGTTAAATTAAATGTTCTAATCAAAGTCATTAAAATTCGAACCTAGAGAACTAATATCAATAGATTCTGGAAAAATATTCAAAATTCGAACAGTCGGAAAGTATTCGAAAAAAAATACCAAAATTCGAAATTTTCCGAATAATTCAGAAGATCTGGCAACCCTGCTATACATCAAGTTTTTATAGTACTCAAATTCTCATTAGTCTTTAATAATTTCGATAATCATCTAAATCAACAATGACAATAGTTAATACCTATTACGCCTAATGACAAATGAGCATGAGAAAAAAACCTACTAATTCTGAAACGACATAAACGTTTAACTCATATACAAAAATAAGGAAATAACGGTTGTTGAATATTATTCGCAAGTAAATATAATCGTGTGGGCAGTTCTATTCCATAGTTTAAATGAAGAATGAAGAAGAAAGATAAACATTTAGTAATTAGGAGACGAAAGAAACCGATAAACAAGAAGTAATTAAGATATAAAAGAAAGATAGATATTAAACAATCAAGAGACGCCTTATCCATTACCCTGTCATGGTTGAGTGACGAAAACTGTAGATAGAAAAACTCTACATGTGATAATTATGATAATAATACATGGATGGAAAAATAGTCCTTGTCGAGTTTACTTACAATTCATAGAGGTTCATGTTTGATATGTAGACTTTTGAAAGTAATCAGGTACTCATCAAATATAATGCATCGTTTCATTTTGAAATTCAGTTTATTAGACAGTATTTACTAATGATTTTTTTTCAAATTTTTAGTATATAGCAAGTGAAAGATAACGATGTGCCTTTGACACGTATTCCATCATCAATTAACAGTATTATTGTAGCTTGTGCTTCTTTTCCGAGAAGAAATGGTCCATGTGCTAATTAAATTATTATACATATATATTTAACATATCTATTTTCTCTTAATAGATAGTGCTCCACTCAATAAGAGAAAATTCTCCTATCAAAAACTAATTAAAAATAATCGCAATCATAGACTTCTAGACGTAGTTGATAACAGATTTACGGAGTATGAATTACAGTCGAAGACCAGAGATTATGTCTTTTGATTTTTTTTTACTACTATGCATTTTCTTATTTACTAATCTGCCGTATATAAAGAGAAAGCATAGGATACTCTACATCTTTTGGTATATTTACATTGAACATAAAATGCAGTTAAAAATGTAAAAAGTATCTTAGAAATACACGTGACATATGTTTTTACTACAATACCGGACGTCTATAATGTTGTAATACTTTTTATTTCACATATATCTCGGCTTAGGTAAATGATAAAACCTTGACTCTCTTTTCAAACGATGTACCGTTGAAAGCTCTGTAAAACTTATATAAAACAAATCTTATAGCTAATCAGAAAAGTCCTCGAAATATTCTCTGTATGATGAGAAGTAATACTGCGACATAACTTGTTCATTTTCAGCATTAAAAAAAAATTAGAATGGGTCAAAAGAAATTCGATTATATAGTTTTTGTAGAGCTTCTCATAGCACATCTTTTGAAAGAAAGGTTTAAAGTTTTATCATTTGTCTAAGACGAGATATATGTGAAACAAAAACTATTACAACATTATAGACAATACTCAGTATTGTAGTAAAAACAAATGTCACGTTTACTTTTAATAAACTTTTTTCATTTTTAACTGTATTTGATATTCAATGTAAATGTACAAAAAGATGTAGCGCATTCTAGACTTTCTCTTTATACATAGCATATTAATAAATGACACCAATCTATAGTAATAACTTACTCAAAAAAGTCATTTACCATTCGGATGATCGAAATTAAGACAAATGCATGGAAAGACAACCTGTGACCTAATTTCTCATGAACGACAAAAATTTTTACTTGAAATCTAGGTTTTTTCTCACACTACTCTTGCAAACAAACAAAATTAGATCTTTATAATGAACCTGAACAGAGAAATTTTGTTTGTCGAATAAACTATTTTTGATTCTTGTTTGATCAATATCTCTCTCAAATATCATAATATCAGGCTGAAAGTTTTACCATAGCATATTCACTGCAGTTTCAGCATTTTCTGAAAATTATATCCCGTTTGACTAGGGTGTGGGTGGATGTGAGTGTGGATGTAGGTGTAAGTCTTCTCATTCTGCACACCCACACCCACATTTGGATGTTTAACTTCTTGAAGAAATTTAATTTCTCTTAAAGCAGTTAAATTAATTCCATCGGATGCTACTTCTCGACTGCCAATTTTAATCTTTTTCACTGCAACATCATCATTTGTTCGTGTATCTTTTGCTTTATATACGACAGCATAGTTTCCTTCACCAACTACTTGAATTAAATTTTATCAACGCATTTTTGCTGACATTCTCATTTTCACTTGGTAAATTACAATAAGCAATTTTTCTCGAAGATGTATGGAGCACGACATCTGCTTTGTCTTTATAGATACCATGTAAGAAGAAACCGTTCATCAAGGATAGCTGATAATAATAGAAAAAGGATATCTAACTGACAACAAAAAAATGCTGAGATAGATGGAGGCGATGAATCGAAGTGTATTTTTAATGAACGAGAGGAAAATACACAACGCAAGAATACAATATGTAATCACAGAGGAAATGTCGTGCTTTGTAGATTGAAGAGAAAAATTGCTTATTACAAATTTACCAAGAGATAAATGATCAACTGCAATCAAATACATGTTGCGATGAAGAAAACATGCAGGTTGATGGCAATATCGACCTGCCAGAGCAACATATTACAGCAAATAGAAATAGTCATGAATCGTTCAGCGGTACAATACTTTATCGATTACACTGTTTTGAGTCCTTTTTTTCAGTAGCAAAATATTATTCTATAATATGTCTGCGTCATTGTCTTTCTTTTAATGGTACGACTTCAGTGAAATGTAAAATTATATGAGCCACTGCTTCTTTCATCATATATAATATTTGTGTATATTCCGTAAGATGTTACTCGATAAAATGAAATATTTTGTTTTTTGTTTGGTCGATAAATTGCAGCATACAAATATAACATATTATTACTCATTTCTGTCAAGGAAAAATGTTTTTCGGTGTGATTTATTTCGTACATAATTAAAATAAGCAATAACAATATTATCAGAATTCATCATGAACAGATAAACACTTTTAGACTGATTCTATTGATACTTAGCGATCAAAAAGTGGGTGTGGGTGTGAATTAACAATAACTACACTCACACCTAATGATTATGAAATAAAGTTCATCGTCAGATGTAAAGAGAAATATCTTTGCACAATATTTAATATACTAATGGAAGGAATTGTATGATCTAAAAATATGGCTAAATATTTCCTCATTGAAAGAAAGATTTGAAAAGCAATCATTTGTCACACAATAAATATTTTTCAAACGACTCTCATTTGACATTCTACAGCTGCATTTTAATAAAAAGATGTGAAAAATCACCCGGAATTCATTCACAATTGTATACTGCTACTTTATGTGGATTTTCATCTTGAGAATTTGAAAAATGTATATTGTTCAAATATTTTCTGTGTGCGTTATTCAATTGCAATTCTATAAAGACATGTATGATCATCTTGGGTCATGTTAATAAAGACCGAAAATGTTGTTAAAAAAATCAGCATCTCTTGCAGCGATAGTTCTTGATTAAAAAGAAGCAAACACTTCGACGTTGAATTCTTTTCAACTTTTTACCACAACAATTTTTGTGTTTTTCTATTCAGTTAATTCACTTGAGAATGAAAGTGCAGTTTACAGAGAACCTATGAACCAAAAGTCCTTAAAAAACAAATGAAACGTGTTTATGCAGAAATAAGTAAAGAGACGATAGAAATTCATATACGTCTCAGAAACAAACAACTAGGAGAAGTATATTTTATATTCTGGTTCGATTCACTCGAATGTTCGCATTAAGTTGTGTGTCATTTAATATATGTCCAGAAATTTCGTACTTGTGATGAAAGTCATTTCATCTAGTCGTTAAGAATTTGTTTTCTATTATACTTTCTCTCTCAAGGATGAGAAAACTGGCAAATCTATCGCATCAACCATTTTTAGATTAATACTTATTCTGTATTTATAGATCAGCAAAAATAGTTCTTGAATTTCGTCAGATTTCTTCTAAAATGAAGATAAACCAACTACGAAACATAATCCAGCTATTCACTCTTTGCAACTATTCTCGGTAATCGTTCCCATCGATCACTATTGCTATCTCTGATTTACAATTTACTGTTGAAGATTTCTGTCCAACCAAAAACTATTGACTATGAGAAATACTTTTTTTACGATCGTGCGTTTCTTACTATGCTTTCGTATATTTTTCAAAAAATCTACAAAAGTGTCATTAAAACCTACGCATGAACACTATCATTGAAACTATTGTATAAGAATGTGAATGATGGACGTAATACATAACATGATATGGGGCTGAGATCAATTTTTCATTTAATTTTCAGTAATTAATATGTTCCCGATTCTCGAAGGAACCAGAAGTCGACCGAATTCGACGGCACTACAGTTTCGAGACGATCTATGGCACGGATCTGAGTGAACTCGATGTCCAAATGTCCGCTTGAAAGAGCCTGGTCCCAATGGGACGAGCGCCGACTTTCAAATCGACGAGAACAGATGCTACACTTTGATCTTAGCCGAAAACGCCGAGAGGCAATAACTATTTCCCATTTAAAGAAACCTCGATATGCATTCTGCTCTTACCCTTTTTTCAAGGTACAGAACGGGAAAAAAAGATTTATGTGTAAGGACTATAAAGCTGTCGCTGTCTACACATGTACGAGAAGTATTGCTAAATACAGCTCTCGAAAAGGTGAATGTCAGAGCAATATTCCACTGTAAAAAAGCAAATAATAGTAAAAGAAAATGTAAATTGATTGTCAGAGATTTCTATACGCGATTCAACTCTTTTAAGAGGCTCCTAAGTCTAGAATATTCGAGATATTTTTCGCAAAGAAAAATAAAATGTTTGAAGGAATCCTGTTTGACTTTATATGATGTTTTAACACGTCCTCAAATAGAAGTCATCGATGGTGCGATGTGTTCGAAAGGTTCCTTTTTCTTTATGTTCTTATAGATCCGTTTGTTGTAGAATTTTATGTAGTAATTATAATCCTGTTATGACTTTTGTATGAATAACCTTGATTAATAAGAAAACTTTGTCGTTTAATCGAATAAAACATTTTGAACAGTATCTTGTGAAACAAGTGAATAAAAAAACACTATTCTATTCTTGAATATGGGCATCCGTTTAGATGGTACAATACGACCAAGTCGTTGTGCTGGTTGTCTTCGTGATCCTCCATGAGTTGAAAGTTGTGTTAATACATTAGCAGCAGATAAATCAAATGATGTATCAGCAACTTGGGAAAAAATAATAATTCTTATATTTGTATCATGTTGAAGATCATGTAAAATTTGCATAAATGTTTAAGGCGAACATAATATCAGAAAAAGCCAATTACTTTATTATAGCTTTGTTCAAGATAACATATCAAATATTGACATGTCCGAGATTTATTCAGATTTATCATAAATAAAAGTAAACGTCGAAACTGATCATTTTGAATTAATAAATATTTTTAAAATAATTCTAGTGTTATTCGACGCCATACTTCACTACCAGACATGCAGAATCCACCCGTGTGCCGCTCACGCGCATGAGGAGAAATTATTCATTATAGAAAATTTTTTTCATACAGGAAATAGCAGGAAAGTTTTTGCTTCTGTGAAAGCTAGGGCACAAAGTTTTTGGGCAAGTTGTATAATTTTGTTTCTGTTATCCTTCAATATACGTCTCTTTTAATATGCATATGTGCTATATCACGATTTGTTTCACTTTCTAGGCCTTCTAAATGTGTGCACTATATGGACATTTCATTTTGCTCGTGTCGCTGTTAAAGTCTAACTTTTTTTCTGCTTCTCGTTTTTCTTTTATAATATACACAAACAATAGCAAACATTCAATTATATAGTCACAAGAAAAGATATTCTCATAGAAGAAGGAAGGGAAGATATATCAAAGACAAAAGAATATCTACATAATTGAGTACATTACTACTACGAAGTACATTAGAATTCTATCTCAAGATTTTTTTTTATTTTGAGCTTTCAATGAGTATTCTCACCATCGTCAGGAAACAATAACAATAATAGAGAGAATTCCTGCAGATATATATATATATATATATAAGATAAAAGAAAAACGATAGAACAAATATAGCATTAATTAATTCATAGCTATGTAATTGGATAACTGTATATATAGTCACGCATATATGCATATATATTTATCCGATTACATATATCTGTTGCTTAAGGTTCTGTTTGTTCAATATATGTTCAAGAAAAAAATTTCTTTTATTTTGACAGCGGGGAAATGTTTGGGAACATTTTTCATATGAACGGTAGATTCTGCACCTCTGCTTCACTACATTTAACTTTAGCAAGGTAACCTAAATTATGTTATTCTATCCAATTAATTTCGTATAATTTAGGTTCAATTAAAAAATTTAAAACAGATATTTTATCATCTTCTCTAAAGGACTAACATATATACATTTCTTTATCAGCAGAAGTAAATAATTTTATATCAGAATCATCAACTGTTGACTAAATTTTAAATTATTATTTCGATTGTTGAAAAGATACATTTGAATTACAAAGTACTAAACAACTTTTATTTATTGTACAAGCAGCTGTAACACCAATTAAAGATTTACCAGCACCACACGATAGAACAATCAAACTAGAACGTGCACATCTATAAACGAAGGGTGTGGGTGTGATTGTAGGTGTGGGTGGGTGTGGGGTGTGGGTGTGGGGTGTGGGTGTTGGTGTGGGTGGGGTGTGATTGTGGGTCTTGATATTAACGGAAAGGACACCCACACCCACACCCACCCACACCCACACCACCCACACCCCACACACCCACACCCACACTCACACCCACACACCCACACCCACCCACAACCACCCACACCCAC